AGAGACAGGGTTTCACCGTGTTAGCCAGGATGGTCTCTATCTCCTGACCTCGTGATCCACCCGCCTCGGCCTCCCAAAGTGCTGGGATTACAGGCGTGAGCCACCGCGCCCGGCATAATTTTTGTATTTTTAGTAGAGACAGAGTTTTGCCAAGTTGGCCAGGCTGGTCTTGAACTCCTGACCTCAAGGGATCCACTGGCCTCAGCCTCCCAAAGTGCTGGGATTCCAGGCGTGAGCCACTATGAGAAGGTTTTTTGTCTTTTTTTTTGAGACGGAGTCTCAATCTGTCGCCCAGGCTGGAGTGCAGTGGCCCGATCTCAGCTCACTGCAAGCTCCGCCTCCTGGGTTTAAGCCATTCTCCTGCCTCAGCCTCCCGAGTAGCTGGGACTACAGGCACCCGCCATCACACCCAGTTAGTTTTTTGTACTTTTAGTAGAGACGGGGTTTCCCCGTGTTAGCCAGGATGGTCTCGATCTCCTGACCTCATGATCCACCCATCTCGGCCTCCCAAAGTGCTGGGATTACAGGCGTGAGCCACTGCGCCCGGCCTGTAAGAAGGTTTTAAGCAGAGAAGGGATGGGCTTGGTTTATTATTTTAAGACTCAGCTCATGGCTTCCATGGAGAACAGGTCTGTTGGAGGCCAGGATGGAGATGATGGGTGGCTGGAGAGGAGGGAAGGGCTGTGTCTGTCTGGACAGAGACTGGGGGTAGGGCCCCCTCTGTGCTGGGTCTGTGCCTTGCACTTTAAGTCACTGTACTCCAGGGTGCTTTAGTCCTCCAGAAGCCAGCAGGCCCTACACCAACTCTGGAGCCAGGCCTGACAGGTGCAGATGAACGCACGCAGGAGTTTCACTCTCCTGAACCCAAGTGACGTGGAACCAAAGCCATCCTCCACTCTAGCCCCTGAGGGAATCTACCCAACACACAGCTCTGAGCATGGTCCTCTCCTGCTCACACACTCTCCATGGCTCCCCACTGCCCTTATGAGAAAGTTCCAGCAGCTAGCCTGGCATTCAAGTCCTCTTCCCAAATCAGCTCTTGCCTGCTTCTCTCTCTTCGATAAATATCTCTTGACTAGAAGGAGCCTTTCCCCTTTTTCACCAAGTCAACTCCTATTCAAATGTTAAAACCCAGTTCAAAAAACCCATTCCTCTAGGAAGTCCTCCCTGCCATTCTTCTGGTCTCCCACAGTCACCATCCTCCTCCAGTTCAGATTCCACGGCATTGAGGGTATACATATCCAGATTTGTCTCCTCCAGACTAAAAGCCCCTCTGGATCAGGACCAGGAATGGACAGTAAGGTTTGGTGAGCAGAGTAGATCAAGAGAGATGTCACTGACCTCCTCCACAACCCTACAGCTTCCCTCAACAACTTCCTCTCAGACTGCCCCAGCTGATACCCTGCCCAGAAATACACGCGCATGCAAATCCAGCCACTCAGCGTTAACCTGTCTCGGGCCCAGGTGTGAAGGGCCAGGCAAAGAATGCGGAGGCGGCAGGCCAGAGTGTGCATGTATATTTGTAGTCACATGCAAATCCCTGCCTAGAGCCGCAGACAGACCCTGGTGGCCCATTCTCCAGATGTTGGTGTGATCGGAACTGCTGGGGGAGGTGGCGGCACAGGCTGAATGTGCCAGGCACGAGGGGGGAAGCTGAGGTTTGGGGAGGCCTCTTCCGCACACACATACCCTCCCTGCTTTGTCCAGCCAGAAATCAGAGAGCTGTGGCATCTGCCCAGCACAGAGGCAGAGAGGTGGACCTATTGACCAAGGAATGGAGCATAGAAGAAAGAACAGGAAAAGAAACCCAGGAGAGCTTCCTGGGGAAGGAGGCATGTAGTTGGAGGTAGATGCAGAGGCTGGATGGGATCCTGAGCAGAAGGGGAGGGAGGTGGGCATTTGAAGCTAAGAGTCCAGCACCTTCCTACCCCTTTTGTTGCACCCTCATACTTAGCATTTACTAAGCATCAACCTGTGCAAGTCACTGAGCCAAGAACTGACCTCAGAAGAAGTAGAAAGCTTAAGTAGACCCAACAACCATAGAAGATTAGAAAGGTGACTCAGGACCTAGCATTAAAAAAGTAATAAAGTGGGCTGGGCACGATGGTTCACACTTGTAATCCCAGCACTTTGGGAGGCCAAGGTGGGAGGATTGCTTGAGCCCAGCAGTTCAAGACCAGCCTAGGCAACATAGCAAGACCCCTATATCTAAAAAAAAAAAAATAATTTTTTAAAGGCAGTAGAGTTCAAGGCTGCAGTGAGCTTTGAGCCACTGCGCTCCAGCCAGGGCAACAGAGTGAGACTCTGTCTCTAAAAAATAATAATAATTTCAAAATTAAAATAATAACTAAAAAACATGTTTAAAGGCAACAGGCCCAGGTGGTTTTACAGCTATTTTCTCAAATCTCACACAACAGGAAAGTGCAGTGTTATTTCAATGAACTTAGATCTTTGAAATAGACAGGATTTAGCCAAGTCATTTTTTTTGTTTTTGAGATGGAGTCTTCCTCTGTTGCCCAGGCTGGAGTTCAGTGGTGCAATTATAGCTCACCGTAGCCTTGAACTCCTGGGCTCAAGTGATCCTCCAGCCTCAGCATCCCAAGTAGCTGGGATTACAGCTAAGTGTCACCACACCCAGCAAATTTTTGAAAACTTTTTGTAGAGACGGGGATTTGCTATGTTGCCCAGGCTGGTCTCAAACTCCTGGCTACTCCCAGATACTTCCAGTTACTTGAGAGGCCGAGGTGGGAGGACTGCTTGAGGCCAGAAATTGGAGACCAGCCTGGGCAACATAGCGAGAACCTGTCTACAAAAACAGTGAAAATTAGCTGCACGCCGTGGCACACACCTGTAGTCCTGGCTATGTGGGAGCCTGAGGCTTGAGGATTCTTTGAGCCCAGGAGTTCAACATTACAGTGAACAATGATCTTGCAAGCTCTTCCACTTCCAGCTCTCATGCATTGCTGGTGGTAGAGGAAAAAGGGACAAACACTTGGATAATTCTCTGGCATCTACTAAATCTGAACAGATGCCTACCCTGTGACCCAAGACAAATGGGTCCAAGTTGCACCTGAAGATACAGACAAGAATGTTTTCTGCCGCTTTGTACATCGTTGCCTCAAACTGGAATCAACCCGGAAGCCCTTAATGGGAGACTTGGTCAACACGTTCTTGTCGATTCTATGATCAGTTATGGCACAACACAGAAAAGGGGTGCACTCTTGCTACACACAACCACGTGGATGAATCTCAGAGACCATTGGCCAATTCGACGATCCCAGACTCCACCGAGAGGACGCGCTGTGTGATTTTATTTACATGAAGTTTCAGAACAATCAAAACTCACTGATGCAGCTGGACGCAGTGGCTCAAGCCTATAATCCCAGCACTTTAGGAGGCCAAGGCAGGCAGATCACTTGAAGTCAGGAGTTTGAGACCAGCCTGACCAACATGGCAAAACCCCATCTCTACTAAAAATACAAAAAGTAGCCGGGCGTGGTGGCATGTGCCTGTGATCCCAGCTACTTGGGAGGTTGAGGCAGGAGAATCACTTGAACCTAGGAGGCGGAGGTTGCAGTGAGCCAAGATTGTGCCATTGTACTCCAGCCTGGGCAACAGAGCGAGACTCCGTGTCAAAAAAAAAAAAAAATCCCTCAGTGAGGCTGATGGACATCAGACAGCACATTGGTCACCCTGGGCAGCAGCTGTGATTAGGCAGTGGCCCAAGGGGGAAGTCCCAGGGGCTGGGGAAGTCCTGTTCCTGGATCCCAGGTTTGGGTACACAGATGTGTTCAGTTTGTGCAAATGTGTTGAGCTCAACTCTACTGATTTGTGCATTTTTCTTCATGTGATTTATTTCAAAACGAAGATTTCTCTCTCTCTCTCTTTTTTTTTTTTTTTTTTTTTTGAGGTGGAGTCTTGCTCTGTCACCCAGACTGGAGTGTAGTGGATGATCTCAGCTCACTGAAACCTCCACCTCCTGAGTTCAAGCAATTCTCCTGTCTCAGCCTCCGGAGTAGCTGGGATTACAGGCGCCCGCCACTGTGCCTGGCTAATTTTTGCATTTTTACTAGAGATGGGTTTTCACCATGTTGGCCAGGCTGGTCTTAAACTCCTGGCCTCAGGTGATCTGTCCACCTCGGCCTCCCAAAGTGCTGGGATTACTGGCATGAGCCATGGCGCCTGGCCCAAAAGGAAGATTTCTTAAAAAGCTTCCAGCCAGAGCAACGTAGTGAGATTCTGCCCCTGCCCCTAAAACAAAAAAAAAAAAAAATTGGGGCCAGGCGCAGTGGCTCACGCCTGTAATCCCAGTGCTTTGGGAGGCTGAGGTGGGAGGATCGCTAGAGCCCAGGAGTTCAAGACCAGCCCGGACAACATGGCAAAACCCTGTCTCTAGGAAAAAAAAAAAAAGTTAGCTGGGTGTGGTGGCATGCCTGTGGTCCCAGCTACTCAGGAGGCTGAGGTGGGAGAATCAGTTGAGCCCAGGAAGCAGAGGCTGCAGTGAGCCAAGATCACACCACTACACTCCAGCCTGGGCAACAGAGCCAGACCCTGTCTCAAAAAATAAATAAACAAAAATAAAAAATTTAGCCAGGTGTGGTGGTGTGCCCCTTAGTCTCAGCTACTCAGGAGTCTGAAGTGGGAGGATCACTTGAGCAGGGGAGGCAGAGGTTGCAGTGAACTGAGATCCCGCCACTGAACTCCAGCCCTGGCAACATTGTGAGACTCTGACTCTAAAAAAAATTTTCTTTTCTTTTTTTTGAGACAGAGTTTCGCTCTTGTCACCTAGGCTGGAGTGCAGTGGTGCAATCTCAGCTCACTGAAACTTCCCCCTCACCAGTTCAAGCAATTCCCCTGCCTCAGCCTCCTGAGTAGCTGGGATTACAGGCGCCCACCACTACACCCAGCTAATTTCTGTATTTTTAGTAGAGATGGGGTTTCACCATGTTGGCCAGGCTGGTCTCGAACTCCTGACCTCAGGTGATCCACCAGTCTCGGCCTCCCAAAGTTCTGGGATTACAGGTGAGAGCCACAGTGCACAGCCTAAAATAAATAAATGAATAAATAAATAAATAAATAAATAAATAAATAAATAAATAAATAAAAATTTAAATCTCGCCGGGCATGGTGGTGTCTGCCTGTAGTCCCAGCTACTTGGGAGGCTGAGGCGGGAGGATGACTTGAGCCCAGGAGGTGGAGGCTTCAGTGAGCTATGAGGGGGCCACTGCACTCCAGCCTGGGTGACAGAGTGAGACTCTGTCTCTAAAAATAAAAAAGCTCCCTGCTGCTTATGGCTGCCTTGAGGAGCAGTGTCTGTTCAGGCTAGAGTGAGGTGACACGAAGAGGCTGAGCCAGTGGGAAATACGGAGTTTGAATGGAGACAGGGGTGGCACCTGGGCAGAAGTGGACTGTTCATTTGGTGACCAAAGGGGCAGGATGTGCTGGTGACCTGGCATAGAAGAGGAGCCTGGTGATCCCAGGCCTGAGCAATGTGAGGGTTAGGGGGAATTGAGAGGACAAAAGAAAAGCTCAGGAGTACGGAAGCATCAGAAATTCTCTGGCAGTATCTGTGGTCACTAAGTCAATCAACAAACATTACCCTGAAGCTCTTCAAGCCATAGATGATCATCTCCCCGGACTGGCGAGGCCTCCTAGACCCCCAGTAATGGAGATGGGGTGCTGGAGGGAATCCCACCCCTCCGCTGACCCTTCCCCTCTGGCCTCTCTGCGTGGTAGGACTCAGTTTTCTCACCTGTTAATTGGGGGTGAGAATCCTTCTCCCACCAGCTGGGGAGAGGGTAGGGAGCAGGGGTCTATTGAACTTTTTTTTTTTTTTGAGACTCGCTTTTTTTGAGTCTCGCTCTGTCGCCCAGGTTGGAGTGCAGTGCCGTGATCTCGGCTCCCTGCAACCACTGCTTCCCGGGTTTAAGCGAGTCTCCTGCCTCAGACTCTCGAGTAGCTGGGATTACAGGCGCACACTACCACACCTGGCTAATTTTTTATATTTTTGGTAGAGACGGGATTTCAGCATGTTGGTCAGGCTGGTCTTGAACTCCTGGCCTCAAGTGATCCACCCGCCTCTGCCTCCCAAAGTGCTGGCATTACAGGCGTGAGCACCCGCACAGGGGCCTCTACTGAACTTTTCTTCTGGCTTCTGGGAAGCCAAAAGGAAGAAGGTCCGGGTCTTGGAACTAGGGGTGCTGAGTCAGTGCCGCATCCTGCAAGACCACCTTGAAATACTGTCATCAGTCACCTGCTTCCTCCCCTGTAAAATGGGTCACAGCATCCTAACCTCACAGGCTTTGCAGCAGGGGTTTAAGAGAAAAGATTAGGAGCAAGTCAAGTTCCCTTTCTTGGCACCCGTGCGGGACTTTACTGGGGGGCTGAGCTGCAGTCACTTTGCCAGACCCCTGAGCCCGCAGGGAGGCCATGGCTTGGCGGAGGAACCCAGGCCGGGAAAGGAGAAGTGAGAGGCAGGTGGGTCGGGTGGGGGTGGGGGTGAGGGCCCGTGGGAGGCGATGAAGCGGGGAGGGGGCACTGCTCCTGGGCCCTGCAGTGAATCAGGCCTGTCGCCCCGCCTCACGCAACCCAGGCTGTGGTTTCATCACCTGCTCCCCAAGTACCTCATTATGGGCGACAGGAAGAGCCCCTTGGAAAGCCAGGACCCCTCCTCCCCTCTCCTGGGGGCTCCAGCGGCTCCGACCCCAGCTGCAGGCGACCCTCCTTCCCCAGCCAGAGCCCTGGGCCTGCCTCCTCCCCTGGGGGCCTAGGGAGGTGGTGCCCAGGTCGGGGGGCAGGGAGGTGACTTGGCGGCCTGGCTGAGTTCACAGCGGTCCCTGGAGCCCCGCACCTGCCTTCAGGGACTCAGGGGAGAGGGTGGGCTCGGGCAGTGACTCCCCCATTGCTGAGCTTCTCTGGAACTCAGTTTCCTCCCCCGGAAAGTCAGGGGGCAGCAGGAGCCACCTGGCTCAACTGAGGGGAGGGGCTTCATAGTAAAGTGCTTTATAGATGCGGGGAGCGTTTGTGGCCGCTGGGCCCTGATGCCTCTCAGAAGGCCTTGGGGGTCACCTCTCCATCCTGGGGGAACCCAGCTCAGATTGAGGACCCCAGAAAGCTCCTGGTGGAGTGCTGGGGGACAGGGGCGGATGGGGTTGGGGGTCACTCTATCCTTGTATGGGCATAATGGGAGGTAGGAATATTCCCCACACATGGAGACCCCCAAACAGAGCCGCGGAAAATCCACAGATGCCCAAAACATAACAGATACCCCAAACACACAAGGATTCCTCCTGCGAAAGTCCCCAAAATACATGTAGTTCACAGTACGTCAAACCCCCAACCCACACAGCTCTCCAAACATGTCCCCAAAACGCATTCTATTCCCTCTGCATAGACAGAACCTGAACACACTCAGACACACCCAGACGCCCCAACACATGCCAATCCCCCAAATGCAGACACATACAGATCTCCCTAAACACATGCCAGTCCCCCAAATACACACAGACCCCTTTCCCCTGAACAATATGGAGACCCCCACCAGACGCATGCAGACTCTTCCAGAAAACATATACAGACTTCCCCCAATCCACACTGGTCCCCCCATTACGCAGGTAGGGCCCCCATCCCTGCAGTGGTATCACCCACACTCTGGCTTTCCTCTTTTCTGTTTTTTTGTGAGACAGAGTCTCGCTTTGTCACCCAGGCTGGAGTGCAGTGGCATGTTCTCCGCTCACTGCAACCTCTGCCTTCCAGGTTCAAGCGATTCTCCTGCCTCAGCCTCCCCAGTAGCTGGGATTACAGCCATGCGCTACCATACCCAGCTAATTTTTGTATTTTTAGTACAGACAGGGTTTCACCATGTTGGCCAGGCTGGTCTTGAACTCCTGGCCCCGTGTGATCTGCTACTACAGTCTCCCAAAGTGCTGGGATTACAGGCTACCATACCTGGCTGGGTTTCTTC